ACCAACCCTTAACTAAATCGGTTTGGGATATATGGGTTTAGGATTTGGGCTTAAGGAATTAGGTTAAAGAGATTAGGCCGATCTGGTGGGCCGGGCTAAGGAGTGGGCCAACTAATTATTTAGGGTTAGGCCTCGAACGGCCAAAATTCCCAACAATCTCCACCTATTTTGGTCGTGATTTAACCAAAACCCAAATACGTATTTACTAGAGACTTACCTAGCACCAATGGATTTAATCATAGCCTTTTGTTTCTCGCTGCATCTACGAACAAACGTTATGTAAAAAAAAAAAATATCGCACATAGAACACACAAGTTCTAACATGCACCTAGATTGATCACTGAACAACCTAGCAGGTAGTACACAGAAGCTACTACGAAGACAAGCATACAAGTAAGTTTAAACATATTCAATATAATGAACCTACAGATTCTAAGCGAGCAAACAAGCTTCTACACAATGCAGCAACATACATGCATATTTACAAATGAAACGCAACAACATGCTGAATATAAAACTTAGAATCACATAACATGAGCTCCACCTTATTCGATATCAACTAGAGAACTCATAGGCACACGAAATAGTATAGTCACATAACTCTATGCCTTAGACACATTATTCTACAGCCCATACACACAACTCTCTAGCTTAGACACACTACTCTACAGCTCAGACACACTACTTCACAACTTAGATACACTACTCTGCGACTTAGACACGTTACTCTATGCCTCAGACACACTACTTTACAGACTTAGACACACTACTTTATAGCTTAGACACACTACTCTACAACTTAAGTACACGACCCTACAATTCAAACATGCAGCCCTACAACCTAAGCACGGAGTCCTACAGCCTAAGTATAAAGTCCTACAGCCTAAGCGCAAAACCCTACAACCTAAGCACGAAGTCCTACAACATAAGCATAAAGTCCTACAGCCCAAGCACAAAGTCCAACAGTCTAAGCACTAAGTCCTACAGTCTAAGCACAAAATCCTACAGCCTAAGCACAAAGAACTCACAGCCTAACCGCAAATATACAGGCACGATGACCACAAACAATCAAATAAGGAAACAAAATGCTTTAATCAAACAAAAGCAACTGGAGCACACACACACACAAAAAAAATGCAATCCAAATAACAAGCATGATCACTAAATATCAATGCTAAATTCTAACATGTAGAACACTTCAGGATCACATCACCAATAGAATCCACATAATAGGATCACATCACAATCCACATAAAAGGATCACATCAGGAACTCAATCCACGTAATACCAAATAAACAATCAAATCGAAAAGATATCAAGGAATACATGCAACTCATCACACATCAAACAACATCATGCATCAAAGTATTCATAAGTTTCAGCAATTAGTTCTAATTTTAGTATCTCATGCATATCTTCAACTAAATCCCCACAAGAAATAAGCAGTTTGATTTTCACACTTAGCAAAGCTACTGTTTTAAAATGAACTAAAATGCTTAGAAGCAATGAAAGTTCGGATCGTGATGACACCCGAGAAAATAATCTTAGATGCCCAAAATAAGGTGGAGATTTGTTATATATTTTGGCCGGTGATTATTGAGGCCTAGAATGCATACAATCGACTCGCCCAAATTGAAGCCCTGATCCGGCAACCCGCTACCCGACCTGAATCTTTGAGGGACCCGTCGGATCATAAGCTGCCTGGATCTGGATAGGTTTGAACCGGTCTGGTCTGGACCGCTGAACGCACTGGTCTGTTATGCTATATATATATATATTGCTGATCCCTTGAACCGGGTTAACTTCACTCATTCAGAACAGAGACAGAACAGACGCGACGCAGCCCTTCTCTCAAGCCCTAGGCGATTCCGATCGATCTCTGTCTGCCTTCTTCGGTGAATCTATACGGCAAGTTGGGAGTTTCTTCTTCTCTTTCGATGTGCGCCTTCCCCCGTGGAGTTTCCTATGGTTTGATTTGTCGATTTGTGCCTTCTTTGTTGGTTCACAGTGTAACTTGTCTGCGATGTTATTTAGGCTTTAATTTCGGCAATGTTTCCTTAGATTGGGTTTCGGTTTAGCGTGTTTGTTGCATTTCCGTGCGTGTCATTTGTGGTTGGGTCTTGGATGTGTGTTTGATGTCGGTTGATTTGATATTAGGGTAAATTGAGTCCGAATCGTTGCTTCCGTAATAAATCGAAGTTTTCTTTAAATTTTGTTCGATGTTGATTTGATTTCGAAAGAATATAGCTTATTGGATCTTGGATTAGTAACAACAGTGGTATCAGAGTCCTGGGTGATCAACCGATTGCGAAATTGAAAGAAAATTTGATTTGAGTTTGGTAGGACTTGAATTGTGGTAAAAGGCTAAACCCTATCTCTTTATTTTCGGTATATTATGATTCTTGGTGAAACAATTGAAATGCATGTATTAGATTCTTAATTTGTATGCTATGTGATTGATGTAGTTTTTTTTTTTTAAACGGAAGCAACAATTCGGACTCAGTTTACCCTAATATCAAACCAACCGACATCAAACACACATCTAAGATCCAATCACAAACGACATGCCACGGAAACACAACAAACACGCTAAACCGAAACTCAATCTAAAGAAACATTGTCGAAATTAAAGCCTAAACAACATCGCAGACAAATTACACTGCGAACCAACAAAGAAGGCACAAATTGACAAACCAAACCGTAGGAAACTCCATGGGGGAAGGCGCGCATCGAAGGAGAAGAAGAAACTTCCAACTCGCCGGACAGATTCACCGGAGAAGGTAGGCAGAGATCGATCGGAATCGCCTAGGGCTTGAGAGAAGGGTTGCGTCGCGTCTGTTCTGTCTCTGTTCTGAATGAGTGAAGTTAACCTGGTTCAAGGGATCAGCAATATATATATATATATATAGCAGAACAGACCAATGCGTTCAGCAGTCCAGACCAGACCGGTTTAAATCGATCAAGATCCAGGCAACCTATGATCCGACAGGTCTCTCAAAGATTCGGATCGGGTAACGGGTTGTCGGATCCGGGCTTCAATTTGGACGGATCGATTATGTGCATTCTAGACCTCAATAATCATCGGCCAAAATATATAACAATATTGAGATCTGTTATTACCATGCTGATAATTCTAATCCATACGATTACTTTTTAATTAAACAGTGCAAATTAAATAAAAAATGTAAAATAGTAATGAGTTCATTATTATCAATTATCTTCTTGTGTCTCTTTCTCTTTGATTGCAATTTAATTTTTAAAAAACATTGCAAAATGAACTGAAAATACGGGAAGATTGACGATAATGTCATGTCAATTTGGAATTATTACAAAGAGAATTGTTTTAATAAATTTTATTATTATTGTGTTCTTCCAAAATTATTATTGTTCTCTTCTGAAATTATTTGCATGTTCTTAAAAAAGAGATTATGAAATTTGTGGAAGTAATATTAATTATTTTAATATATTTTTACTATTTTTATATTTATTGTAATTCTATACCATAGGTAAAATGATGACTTAATACTGCTCCATTAAAAGCAGAGAGTTTTATTTTAATATATTTTTTTATTACTACTGTTTTTTTTTAAAAATTATTGTTGTATACGTTTGAATGATTTATGTGCTGTTTAAATATTATTGCTATACTTTTTGCAATTAATATTATGCTTTTTATTTTATTTTTTAAAAAATATCAGTATTGTTTTAATATTTTTGACTAATTTTCAGTTTACTAATGTAATTTTATAGTACTATTTTTTTCTAAATATAATCATTATATAGTACTGATTCTAATTATTATTTTAGGAATGTTTACATAGTTTTATTTTAATATATATTATTATTATTATTATTGTTTTTCTTTTAAATTATTATTGTTGTTTTCAATCGAACCTAATACCCTGCATAGGATTTGAACCCATAACTTCACGGTCACACGTTCAATCTCTACACCACCAGACAATCCCATACGGAAGTGCTTCTTTCTTATTGTTGATGTCGAGAAGCAGGGTTGTAGAAGCAGTAGTCCTAGGTGGTTGTAGAAGTAGTAAATCTGCTGATTAAAATTAGAAGAAAAGAACTTAGAAATGAATTTTCATTAAAATTAGAAAAAAAAACACATCACTTTCATTAATAGCTCAACTTAAATAGCTCAAAACATCCATGACTCTTGAATAGCTCAAACTTAATTGAAAGTTCCACTACCGCAAGTGTCAGGGTTGGGATCATCGGTCTAAATTTACCCAGTTTAACCGGTTCACCCAATCAAAATTAAACGCGTGTGTACTTATTTGTTTATTTTTTTATTTTGTTAAAAATCAAATTTTAATTAATTTAGCAAATATTTGCACAATATCATTTCCCTCCCAATTCTTCTATTTTCTGCAAATCGATTTTACCCTCAGACCTCAATCATTCTCTACTGTGTTCTCCAAATCGACTTCATCTTCGGACTCAGTCCTTCCGCTGCCAAGAGAACTACAACAGGTATTTATTTATTTTATTTTTCACTTTTCTCGTTTTTTCTTTCTACTCTTCCCACTCTAGGTTTTTTTTTTTTCATCTTTTTATTTTTATTATACTGTATCTATACACCTTAACACAATACAATTATTTAATTTAATTTGCATACAATCTCTTCAAATGAGATAGAAAAATAATCAATAATAATTTTTAAAAATTATGAAATATTTTAGCAAGTATTCGATGAATGTCCGCAGAGGATTTGAAATGTAGGTCTTGTATTTGTTCTTTAATAAAGTTTGTAGAATTTTGAAGTTAAGATTTACTTTTCTCTAAATTTCTATAGTAGTATTATTTCAGTCGAATTTGTTCACCCCATCTACTCTATGGATTATTATTGATTTATATTGGCATTTTGTGCAAAAGTGGATCGGTTGATTTTTTAATTTTTTGTTGTGATAAATTATTAATCTTTTTAAATGATGATGGCTGAATTTTTAAATGATATTTGTTTGAATTTTTTAAATTATAGATAATGGAGATTGACGAGTCAGACATGAATAAATCTTCTTCTTCACGTAGATTGGACTTTACGAATATGGAAAATGATGATCAACCATATAATCATCATATTTCTATCGAAGAAAAACCTCAAATTGGAAAGGAATTTGACAATGAAGAAGACGCTTATCAGTTTTACTTAGCATATGCTAGGAAAACAGGTTTTGGCATAAAAAGACATAAAATGCATAGAGATCGAACATGAAGGATAAAATTTAGAATATTTTCTTGCAGTGCCGAAGGTACAAGGGGGAAGATAAAAGAAATAATAATATAAGAGCTCCTCGGGCAATAAAAAGATTCGGGTGTAAGGCAATGATGAGAATTCGATTGAAAGATAATGAGAAATACGAAGTGTTTGAGTTTATTTCTCAACACACTCATCAGCTCACTAGTCCTCAGAAGACTCATTTTTTCCTGTCGCATAGGAGAATAGACGAGGTCCATGCTGCGCAAATTGAAATAGCCGAACATGTGGGACTTGCTCCAAAACTCTCACATAATTTAATGGTTAAGGAAGCCGGTAGTCGGGATAACTTGGGATTTGCAAGGCAAGACATTAAAAATTACTTGCGATCGAAGAGGACAAAGTACATGAAGGTGGGAGATACTGGAGGGGTGTTAGAATATTTGCAAGGAATGCAAAGTAGAGACTCAAATTTCTCATATTCTATTCAAGTGGATGAAGATGGTATGATTAAAAACATATTTTGGGCTGATGGGAGAATGCGAGCAGATTATATTGATTTTGGAGATGTAGTTTCTTTCGACACTACGTATAGAAAGATTAGGGAAAATTGTCCGTTGGCCTTGTTTGTTGGTGTTAATCACCACAAACAAACAGTGGTTTTTGGCGCAGCACTTTTATACGATGAGACTATTCCCTCATTTCAGTGGTTATTTGACGCATTCGCCAGCACTATGTATGGAAGAAAACTGACTACCATTTTGACAGATCAAGATCAAGCAATGGCAAATGCATTGGCTTCGAGGTGGCCTGACACTCATCATAGGTTTTTTATTATGCATAAATAGTTTAATAAACTTAAAGTTTTACTTTTGTAACATATAGATACTTTTTCGTAGAATAATTCCGAAATTTGTTTTGTTTTGTACGTTATATATTTGGCATATTTATCAAAATGCTGCCATACATTTGAGTGGTGCCTTCGTTGAGCATGAAAACTTTGCGCATGATTTTGGAAGATGTATTTGCGATTTTGACGAAGAGGATGAGTTTTTGCATGAATGGAATAAAATGTTGGTGCAGTATAATTTGATGGAAAATGCATGGTAGAGAAAGTTATTTAAAGTGAAAGAAAAATGGGCTTTGGTATATGGTCGTCAATTCTTTTGTGCTGATATTACAACGACACAACGCAGTGAAAGTATTAATAGTGTCGTTAAGTGATATGTCAGTTCAAAGAACAATTTGCGGCTATTTTTTGAAAAGTTTGAAAATCTGATCGAATCTCGTTGATATGCACAGTTGCAGGCCGATTTTAAAGCAAGTACCAGTGCACCTATTCTCTCAATGCCAACTCAGCTCCTAAGACATGCCGCAAATGTGTATACCCCAGAAGTATTTAAAATTTTCCATAAGGAATTGGGAAAAGCGTATGATTGTGTAAGTGTTGTTACTAGAACACATGAAAGCATTACAGAATATCAGGTTAACTATCTTGAGACTTCGAGGTACCATTTTGTCAAATACGATTCATCAGATAGGACAGTTGCATGCAGCTGCAAGAAATTTGATTTTTCTGGGATATTATGTTCTCATGGACTAAAAATTCTCACCAAAAAAATGAAGTTTTTAAGATCCCCAGTCAATATATATTAAAGAGGTGGACAAAAGATGCAAGGGTAGGTGTTTCGCATAGTGGAATGCATTGCGATGACCACGCTACGGATGACCCAAAAAAAGAGTTAAGTTTGCGCTATAAGGATTTGAGTCAATTATGCAACAAACTGGTATCAATGGCTTTAGAAAGCAAGGAATCATATGAGTTTGCTAGAGATACAGTGTTGAGGACGACTGAAAAAGTGAGTGAACAACTAAATCGCCGAAAAGAGCATTCATCATCTATGAAGGAGGGTGATAATGCTGGTATGAATAAAGAAGAAAATACTTATGTGAAAGGTATAAAGAATAAGGCAAAGATACGTTCGGGCAAAAGGCCAAAAAGTGCATTGGAAAGAAACACGGTAAGGAAGAAAAAATAATTTGAAGTTCGAGGACATGAATATTTAACAGAAACCAAGGTGCGGACTATTTACTATAATGTTAAAGTTTTTATTTACTCAAAAAAAATTGTGATAAATTTATTGGCTCTGCAGACAAGCGCTAACGAGACATATTTACCTGGTAGCATTCCATTGCAACCTTATCAGATCCCTTCACAGGTTCAATTTTATTTCAAAAATTTTATAAAAAAATTATTTGCTCTTACTTTGTTTGGAAAAAAAAAATCATATTTGATTTGTAATAGTTTTATATATTTTTTTTTCCAACTTTCTTAGATGTCAGCAGTTAATTTAATACCAAGCATACCATCTCTTTACCACAGTGAACCATCTTATTCAATGAACTTCACCGAGTTGCTTGAGGTATTTTTTATGATGATATGCATTTCCATTAAAATGAATTAGTTTACTACCTTTTTTATTTAACCGTTTTATCGTTAATTGACGTAGGTTCAGTCATCGCGTATCGGTGGTGAAAGCAGTGATTATCATCATATGTAGCAACTGAGTTCGGATATCGAATTATATGGTGCTTCAAACTGAGAATAAGAGATCAGATTTTATTTGTCCATCTTTAACGCTAAGGGATTATGTAAACATATTAGATGGCATTTTAATATTTAATTCTAACTTTTCTGCCACTAGCTTATTTTGAAGAAATCTTGTTTTACAAATATGTATTTACTTCTATTAGATTTATAATTACCATTAACTTTAAAACTTGCAAAAATATTTTATTTATTAGTTAGCCTTCTTGTTATGAATTACTATTTAATATTATTAAACTATATATTTATAAATGGGTGGACACATGTAGTTCTATATAGATGGTATATGTATAGTGAAGCATAAGGGTGAAATGATCAAACTGTCAATTACTTACAAAATAGAGTTTTTTTGTTCATTGGGACATGATGCAGAGAAAGGAGAATATATATTATGTCATGGCCTATTTTGTAAAGTATTCTTGGTTTTCTTAAGCTTCGGTATATAGCTTATGCTCAAATTCAATTATTCACATATAATTGTTGGCAATTGCAACTAATACACATTACATGTCAAACAAAATGAGAAATAATTGATTGTAAGCAGGGTTTTATAATAATAATGAGAACTTAAATTTTATTATTTAATTGGGAATTGATGAATGAGATATATCATAATCATCATAATAATAATAAATAAATAATGAGTTATATACAACTACTCCGGGCATTCCCGGGCATTCCCAAGAAATCAAGTCAAAAGGCGAAGACAAAAGATCCTAACAAAAGTTCCAAATAAGTTAGAAATAAAAAGCTAGCAGCTAACAAAAGATATAGACAAAATCTCACACCACATAATTCAAACAGTGAAGAGCTAGCCGGTTTGAATTTCAAAAGTCCGGAAGCTAAATTCAATCGTCCAACGCCCCCCCTCCCGAACAGAAGTCGGTTAAGGCTGGTGGGAAACAAAAGCCCCTGCTCGTCTATGACTGTCTGTTGTACCCTTGGACAATCATCTTTTGGTTGGTCGAAAGTTGGACTGACTTGACATTCACACACAAACCAATTTACATACATGTTTAACATTAAGTAACAATATAAATTTTTTATACACATTTATACAAATCCAATTAGATACATTGCGAACCATAAAACACATTACAAACTTATCACACAAAACCCAACTATATACATTCACAACACATTTAACAGAATAAACAACGATTAGCCATCCAAAGTAAGTAAATGGAAGCTGACCTTCCACATAAGCTTTAAGTCAAAGCCGGAATCAACGTATACGGGAGCTGCAATTGATTCCACAATGTCGGCAAGAACTTTGGGTGCTTTCACCAAACCCCCATAACACTCAGTGTCATCCTCTTCTTCTATGGCCGTTAGAAAATCCCTTACCTGAAGCAAACCATTAAAAGGGGCATGATTTCAACAGAGAAAGTTTGAAAAATTAGCCAAGTTTCCATCAAGCCAATTGATATGAGTTGAAATGTCTGTATCAAGTGCTTGATGGAAACCTGACCAACTTCACAACTTTCAGCTGCAGAAATCCATGTCCCAAATAAAAAACGCACTGTCGTATGCCTCAATTTAAGGCTCAAGCTGTAAATACAAATGCCTTCAGAATTTCTAAGCATACTGATCCACTAACTTACATAGAACAAGAACAAACTAAAATTACAATTGTGTAATAGATTAAACAACCACAAAAAGAAAGAGAGGAAGACGACGCACATACATATTGCATTTGTAGATAGGAAGAAATTATATATATATATATATATCTAAACCTCGTAAAATTAAATTCCAGTTGCAAAAGAGCAGCGTTAAATTTCTTCACAGAAAACAGAGAAAGAAAAGAAAATTACCTTTTCGTCAAGAACAGCAGCGTTATGGCGAACATACTTATAAAACTGGTGGCGGACGGCGACGCGAGCGAGCTTCTCGGTGCTAATGTTGGCTGCTTGCAGCAACGAGAGTTTTCCGGGGTCGGCGTCGGGGTACTACAGGAAAACAAGATTGGATATAGCCAAACCTAGAGCGGCATCACCTACAAATTCGAGCCGCTGATAGGACGAAGAGTCTGTATAGGAGGGATGCATCAAGTCATCTTTGAGACGCCTCCTGTCACGAAATTGGTATTTGATTAATCTCTCCATCGCCTCCACGGACGCCTCAAAATTCTGAACATCATCCGGCTCCCCAGACGGAAGCGCAGAAAACCCTACCGGCGCCGCGTCCATGGAATGCAAGCAAGATACCGGTGATCGATCGGCGATGTGAACACGAAAGCAACAATTCAATCTCAGGGTTAGGGCCCCAAGACACGTAACACTACACAAGAGTCAAAGACAACACAAGTCGCGTTCGAGTAAACACGGCTTGGGATCATCGGTCCAAATTTACCCAGTTTTCTTGACGGTGGAAGGACTGGGTGGTCTGAAGGTTAAGTCGATTCGGATAACACAAAGAAGAATTGGGGTTAAAATCGATTTGCAGAACAACACAGATGGAAGAACTGGGGGAAAATGATAGGGACTATTATGCAAATATTCGATAAATTAATTAGATTTTGATTTTTAACAAAATAAAAAAATATAAATAAATAAATACACATGCGTTTAATTTTAATTGGGTCAACCGGTTGAACTGGATAAATTTAGACCAATATATTTAGACCGATGATCCAACCCCAGTGTCATTATTTTCATTAATTTTCTGCTGCGGATTTTTCTTTGCAGGAGATTAAGCTTCTTCCACAGGGTTGCTTATTTAGTTCGTGGGCCTCTGCTGATTTGAGTCTTTTTTTTCTCAAGTGGACTTTTCATCACTCATTCCTTAGTCATGTTCAATTTGAGCTTTTGATTTTGCTTCCTTGGGCCATGCATCTATTTCAGCCTGGATCTGCCATTTTAACTATTATTTTTGCCATTTTGATTCCTCATCTTTCGAATTCTTTTGCTAACAATTATAAATATTTAAATTAATAATTTGTCTAAACAATAAAAATTATGTGTTTGGATATTTTATGGGAGGTGTAATAAAACATTCAAAATTTTGGATTCTATTATCTAAAAATGAAATATCCCTCTGTCCCGTATATGATGTCCCATTTAGTTAGGGACACGATTATTTATGTAATACAAATTATTAAGTTATTAATAGAGGGTGTTTGGGAAACAATTTTTTTCTTATTAAATAATTTTTAATTGTTTGACTAGTAAAAAAATTAATTTAAATGTTTGGTAAATTAGTTTTTAAAATAATTGGCCGGAAAAAGCTAAATTTTGAAAGTTTCTTTTATTCCTTCTTTGACCTTAAAAATAAACCATTCATCTTACTATTTTACACGTATTAATATATTTTTCATTGTAATATTTATTAATTATGTTAATATATTTTTTTAATTAACTTTTAAATTTATTTTTATAAAATTGATATAATTGAAATCATCATTAATTTATTTATATATACTATATATTTTTTGTGACATAAATATTTTATTAATGATAAACATATTAGAATAAATTTATTTAAAATTATAAATAATAAA